CGATAGGGCGCCCCATCCTGCCCCGCCATTCCATCGGGATGAGTTCTTTTGCCATCACTATAACATACGTGTCATTAAATAAGAGGACAATTAAATAAATTATATGATTTCACTTCTCATTGAGTTTATTACATGATACTTAGACTTGTGTTTTAGTATCACTGATGTTAGATAGTATTATTATTTTTAAAATTGAAATCGTTTGCTCGATTCCGTTCATTGTGATTCCAGTTCGGAAGCTTCAATTCTGACTAAAACGCACAACCTAAAATGATTGCTACGAGTTTTCCATAGAATAATTACTTATCTTCAAAACGATGCTCATCCTATTCTAAAACAGTTTTAGAAGTGAGAGCTGAAGACGGATTCTCTTGTCCAAATGAAGATATAGACTTTCTCGAACTAGGATTGCTCCGATGTTTCAAATTGTAAATAAGGCTCAACAACACAATACCTTCCTACCTACTGGGCTAACCGTAAAAAATTCCCGACCTTTTGAAAATAACACAAAATGTCCCCGTTTGAAACTTTTAGTATGAAATATCATATTGTCGTTTACAATTTCAATATAAAAAATGTAAAATAACGAATTTACCCTCCTTTTTAAATAAAACAAAAAGGGTAGAAGAAAAAATAAAAAATTAATTGCAACTATAACCCCATATATTTTTTTTTTCTAAAAAAATACAAACGAAACAATTATTATAAAATTAAAAACAAAAATAAAAAATTCAATTTCTCTTTGCCTTCCATTACCCTCTTCCTCTTCTCTTCCCACCACCACCACTCCTCCCAGCACCCCATGACCGCCGCCATTTACAACAATAATATGACGGATTTCACATTAAAGTATATTTACTAACTAATCTTCGCCATTACATCATGGAAGAAATTTATTCTGGGGTCGGATCCCACTGGAGTATGGTACGTTTCCAAATCTCGAATATCTATCTGTCTCTGGCATTGAATTCCTGGGAGAAATCCCAAAAGAGCTCAGGAACTTGGCTTGGCTTAAGGAGCTCTATATTGGGTACTAAAACACATTTTCTGGTGGTCTACCCAAAGAAATCGAAAAGTTGTCCCAGCTAATAACATTTGATGTCGCCAACTGTAGACTTTTCGGCAATAGTCCTATGGAAATTGGGAGGTTACAGAATTCCAAGTTCATCGGGGAGTTACTGGAGCTGGTGGTATTACAGCTATGGGAAAACAACTTCGCTGGAAGCACTCCTCAAAATCTAGGGACCAATGGCAATTTGCGGGGATAAGGAGATTTAGGCCTGTTGGCACCAATTTTATAAGAATGAGAATGAAAAATATGGTTGTTACGAGATTCACGTAAGAGATAAAAACTCGAATATAGTGGTTTGATATAATATTTGATATAATAGATAAGCATTTTTGTGACAAAGAATGTGAAGCAAATGAGGGCATAGTCATCCATCTTCATAGCCGATTGCGGGGCATTGCATACGTTATTTGGCAGAATCTATCCCAACATTTTTATTTTCTTTCCAAAATTTTTCCAAGTGAACAGGTCGAAAGCAATTGAGGTGATAGGAAAAGTAAGCAAGGAAGTAGATGTCATTTCATGAGAAAGAGAAAAGTAAGAGAATGGATTTTCAAATCAATGATATTTCATCATCATGATAATAAATAGTATTATTCTTTGACAATAAGCTTCAAACATTGATTACATTGGGGAACTTCCAGTTTGGTCCAATCCCAAAATCATTGGGTCAGCTTGAGTCACTGAGTCGAGTATGAATGGGTGAGAACCATTTCAATGGGTCTATTCGAAAAGTTGAGCTTGCCTAAGCTTGTGGTGGGAAGAGGAAGAGGAAGAGGGTAGTGGAAGGGGGAAGAGAAATTGATTTTTTTGTTTTCAATTTTAATTTTAATAATTTATTATTATTATTATTATTATTATTATTATTAGGGGTAGTAGTTTCAATTAATATTTTTACTTTTTATTTTATTTAAATATGAGGATATATTTATCATTTCACATTTTTTTTTTTTTTTAATGGACGACAGAGGGCGTTCCGCGATAAACATTTCAAATAGGGGTGTTTTGTGCTATTCCTCAAAGTAAATAACATTACAAGATACTGAACAATTATGTTGCAATGTTCATCACATTTTCATGGAATATAGATTGTGTTCACACAAAGTTTATCTTAGTTTTTCATATAAAACCCACAAGGAAAAACTTGTTAACAATGATACAAATATAAAATTAGCAAATTAGAAAAGTAGCTGTAGTAATTCCACTTATTCTAGAACTGAACGAAACAGGTACTCGAGGGAGGAACCCAAAAACCATAAAATGCTAAACGAAAATGGAAGGGATCTTGTTGCAACAGTGGAAGCCTCAAGCTTGAACCGAAGCCATGTGAACGATCAAATCAATCACACGAGAACTGCAATACAAACAACCATCATGTCAAGCTCGTGAAATCCACGATCATATTTTTGGTCGGACAACGATATGAACACAAGAGGGAGTAAAAGAACGAGAGAGATTAAGTTCACCTGTAACCCCATTCATTGTCATACCACGAGACGAGCTTCACAAATTTTTTGCTAAGAGCGATCCCTGCCTTGGCATCGAAAATGCTTGACCTGCACAAGGAAAAGAATGCACCAAATGATTAACAAAATTTCATCTTTGAAACCTGAAGGACTGATTGATGCACCACAAGGTCATTCAAGTTAATGGTTATTCACCTGCTATCACCAACAAAGTCAGTGGAAACAACATCATCTTCAGTGTAACCTAAGATACCCTTGAGCTTTGTCTCCGATTCCTCCCTGAGAGCAAAACTGAGCGCAATTTAGGGGTAATTCAAAAAGTTTGTGAATGTAACCGATGAAATAATAGATGACTAGCTAACTTGATGGCAGCCTTGATCTCCTCGTAAGTGGCCTCTTTCTCTAGCCTGACAGTGAGGTCTACCACAGAAACATCAACTGTAGGAACTCGGAAGGACATCCCTGTCAACTTCCCGTTTAGGGGTGGAAGCACTTTACCAACAGCCTACACATTTGGATAGAGAATCAGACAAGTCAACTAAACAAATTTTGATGTTATTGTCCACGTTAGACTTCAATAATTAAGTACCTTGGCAGCTCCAGTGCTGCTGGGAATGATGTTGAAAGACGCAGCTCTTCCACCTCTCCAGTCCTTGCTTGATGGACCATCAACGGTCTTTTGAGTAGCTAAATTATCACAATGGCAAAAGTATTGTGTCATCATTCATGCTCGGGACCTATATTTCCAATCCACACATAACCGAACAACCACTCACCAGTAATGGAGTGAACGGTGGTCATGAGACCCTCGACTATACCAAACCTATCATTTATGACCTGCAAGAATTTGAACCAAAACAAATTAACTTAGAAGAGACAATAAATTAGCAGACAGTGGCTAATAGAGATTTAATCAAGAGTAAAGCTGAAAAACCTTGGCCAGTGGAGCCAGGCAATTAGTGGTGCAACTAGCATTGGATACAATGTCTAGATCAGGCTTGTATTCCTTCTCATTAACACCAACGACAAACATGGGGGCGTCTTTGCTTGGAGCCGAAATGACAACTTTCTTAGCACCTCCCTGATTTTTTCGATCAACACAAAGCACAATCAGTTAATTACACCCACAAACTTCACACGCGATAATGCATATTGAAAATTTAAAATGTCGAGCATGTAGATCCAACTTCGCATGACACAAGTACATCAATTAATTAAAAGAAGAAAAAGTCATTAGGCCAAGCTAAAACAGTTGTTTCAACAACCTTCTTGAATAGATAAAACACATATACTCCCAAGATCGTTAGTATTTCGAGTATTTATATGAAAACGGCTTTAAATTTAACCAGACGTCAGCACATGGAGGGTACAAAGACAAGGTTAACAAGACATAGAAATGTCAAAATGGCTTAAACAAACTCTCATGGTAATGCAATTGAAACATAAACATAAATACAACTATGTCATTAGATCACCTATGATACACAATATTCTTCAGGACTGAAGGATCATAAACTTGACCGTATAATAAACAAGAGTTAGCTTATTTTTCTTGTTAATACTACCGAATACTATCCAGTCGTCCCCCTACCAATTATATCATAGAATATTGATCAGTAAAAGACCTTCAAGTGGGCAGCAGCCTTATCCTTGTCAGTGAAAACTCCGGTTGACTCCACGACAAACTCGGCACCAGTTTCAGCCCATGGAATCTCCTCAGGGTTCCTAAAAATTTCCAATCAATCATCAAAAATGAATTCTAATAATTTTTCCGTTTTCAAGAATTTACATAGAGAAATCAAAAATCCTACCTGACCCCAAAAACTCTGACTGGATTATCACCAAAAAGAAGGGTCTTTTCATCCTTGACCTTCACCTCATTGTGCTTCCAGTGGCCGTGCACACTATCATACTTAAACATGTATTTCTGCAGGTATTTTTTTTTTATTAAATCAGATTAAAATATCCAGAAAATAAGAGAAAATCCATATACGCAACATACATAGATTGATAAAAACAATACCATATAATCAGTGGTGATGAATGGATCATTAACAGCAACAAGTTCTACATCATCCCTCTGCAGAGCAACTCTAGCGACCAAACGACCAATCCTTCCAAATCCTGATTAAAAATCCATTTAAAATAAAAGAAAATAAAAGATCAAACTTTAACCACTATATTCAAAATGCCCATTTCTAGAAAGATCCAAAAATGTTAAGGAAAATAAAAACGAAATCCAAGCAAAATTATGAACTATAAGAAGCTTTAAAGTAAAACAGAACATGGTAACGGATTAAACAAAATCAAGAAAAAATACCATTGATTCCAATCTTGATCTTGCCCATTTGTATTAGAAAGAGAGTGAAAGCAGAGTCGAAACTTGATAGAAAGCCGGTGTGAAAAAAGTTGATTGCGGGGATTGTTATAGGGTGATTTTAAAGGGGTTTATTGACATGTTCAGGCCGAATAATCGCTTTTTTATACTTTTTTTTTTTCTCTTTTCTTGGGGAAAAAGAAAAAAGAATTTTAGACAGTAATGTTGCAGTTGTTTTCTTCAAGAATTCTGGATGAGTCCGCTGATTTTGTCCTTCTGGAGAATCAAGAAAAGTACTTTTGAGCTCGTTGGATCAGCTTACCAAACAAGTTTAAAAAATTAACGGCTTGTTTGGGAGGAATTTTTTACCCCAAAAAATTAATTTTTTGATCGTTATTTTACTATTTCAACCGTAATTTTTGATTTCTTCTCTCACAGGTGGATCCCACTTTTTTTCCAACGATCAAAAAATCAATTCTCAAAATTCCTCCCAAACGGGGCCTAAAATTAAAATCAATAATTAATTTTAACAACATTTCATAAAATTCAAAATTTTTATAAACTTTTGAACCACTCATATCCAAAAATATGATTAAAATCTGCTAAAATCTTATTAAAAATATAAACCAAATGAAAAGCCCCCATTTGACAATCATTAAAATAATATTTTTTTTTCAAATTCATTTTTAATAATACATTTTCACAATAAAATATCTTGTACAATTAAATTTAAAACTTTTTAACCAGGTATCCTCCAAAATCACTATTATTTTCAATCACACAATTCTCAGGATCTAAAACTTTTATGTACTTGTTTAACCACACATTTTTTACGATTCATGATTTAGAAGCACTTAAAAATATACTCTTAAATTAAAATCTGCTAAAATCTTATTAAAAATATAAACCAAATGAAAAGCCCCCATTTGACAATCATTAAAATAATATTTTTTTTTTCAAATTCATTTTTAATAGTACATTTTCACAATAAAATATCTTGTACAATTAAATTTAAAACTTTTTAACCAGATATCCTCCAAAATCACTATTATTTTCAATCACACAATTCTCAGGATCTAAAACTTTTATGTACTTGTTTAACCACACACTTTTTACGATTCATGATTTATAAGCACTTAAAAATATACTCTTATATTTTAAGGGAAGCCAAATATGCGATACAATATAAATTTTTTATTTTTTTATTTTTATTTTACTTAACAAATATGTAGATTACGATAATTTTTTTTGTAATAAATTATATACTTGGGAAACAAGCCATAATTAATTATCTTACCCCTTCAAGTTTCGTAGTTTTATTTTACATAGTATTTTGATCAATGGATGTAATTTTGATTGGAATATTCGAGGAACAATTCGGAGAATCTAACTTGGCTTCTTATTTTTGGACTTTGAAACTAAAAATTATGAGTTACAAGTTTTCACATATTTTTGTTCTATCAATTATAAAAATTACAAATATTCTAAAGTTTTATTTTTCTTACTCACTGCCAACTATATAGAATTTTTCCTACTTTGAAATTTCATTAAAATTACCTTTTTAAATAAAGAACTGGTTTATTCAAAAGTGGACGAGCGAGTACTAGTTAAGAATGTGTCTTTAGATGGAAATGAAAAATACCTCCTCATTTGAGTTGCTTTTTTTTTTTTTTCAAAAAAATACATTTTTAAACAGTGATTTAACAATATTTCAAACACGCATTTTTAAAAAAATAATAATATTATGCGCAAATTCACAATTTTCCTTATTTTTTAACCACACATTTTCCATCAATCTACTCTTCCAAAATACATTTTTTCAAAATAATATAACTCCAACAAACGAATATTCATGAAATGTAAAGTCTCACTTCTTGAGCCAACAATCACAGGGAGGGAGAGAGAGAGAGAGAGAGAGAGAGAGAGAGTAAAAATTCAATTACTTTATCTTAATTTATCAAATAATATGTTAGGTTAATGCAGAAAAACTGAATTAAATTATTTTGATTTACCATTCTCTTCTAGAACTCATTATACTGGAATTGTGTATATAAACGTTTCGTTAAATTGTCATAATTTCTTTAATCAAACTTTTGAATTGGAAAAAGAAAAGTAGTTTTGATTGAGCAGTGGAATTTTGACCTGGAACATGACTCACGACCCACGACCTAACTCCAACAAACGAATATTCATGAAATGTAAAGTCTCACTTCTTGAGCCAACAATCACAGGGAGGGAGAGAGAGAGAGAGAGTAAAAATTCAATTACTTCATCTTAATTTATCAAATAATATGTTAGGTTAATGCAGAAAAACTGAATTAAATTATTTTGATTTACCATTCTCTTCTAGAACTCATTATACTGGAATTGTGTATATAAACATTTCGTTAAATTGTCATAATTTCTTTAATCAAACTTTTGAATTGGAGAAAGAAAAGTAGTTTTGATTGAGCAGTGGAATTTTGACCCGGAACATGACTCACGACCCACGACTTTTTGAAAGCAACATTGGAACAAATGTTAGCTAACCATTATTTTTTTCTTCTTTTAGCAGATTGTAGGGTGAATCTTTCTGACTTTTTTCATGCATTTATAACGTTATTTAAGTTTTTGTTTGACAAATTCATAAATTAATTTATTAAAATAAATAATAATGAGTTATTTAAATAATAAGAAGTAGTAATTATGAATGTACGACTGAAATTAATAATCAATTTTAATTAAATTTATAAACTGTATTTAAACAGAGTGTAAATATGAGATGACTCGATGATTCTTAAATTCAATCTAAACTCAACGTGATATAGATTGTCCTTGATTTCATGCTTGAGGCTCGCACATGTTTATTTTTACTTTTGCTTTTATCAAAACAATACAAAATTAAAAATTGATGAACTTAGCTAGAACGAGTTGTCGAGCCCTATTGAAATTTATGGGTTTTCAGATGTTCTTACTTGTCTAAAATTGTAAGTTGTGCCGAACCAAAAATATAAACAAACGAACCGGGCATGACCGATTTCAAGAACCAAAAATATTAACTTGATTAATTGTTAATTAATGCCTTCATATGGTTTGTATGTTGTAGGCATGTCATTTGACATCATTGTACACGAACACGATGATAAATTTCACGCTTTTGCATTAATGGTTTAATTAATGAACAGGCTTCTTTTTATTTTTTAATTATATATTAGCCTACCAAGTTGAAAAAGAAAAGGAAAAGCTCTCTGATGTATTATTGTTGTTAAAGTATTTGAAATTATTTTTTGTTTTAAATAAAAGAGTAATTTTAAATTCTATTCTGTTTAGGAGAAATTCAGTACCAGCCTATTCGTTCTAGGCGAAATAAATACTAAAGTAGATTAGTCGGATTCTAATTGGTCGGCATTTTAAAAAGTGGTGATGTTCTCATCTTCGATAATTATTAACAATGATTTACAAATAAATTTATATATACATGTCTTTCTTCTAAAGAGTTGGAATTACATCATTAAAGCGAAAAAAAAAAAAGAAAAAAAGAAAATCATGTTTACAAATGACTCTCTATAGTGTAGATAAAAAAATGAAAAGAGGGGGAAAAACATGTGTTTCGCGCGGGTTAGTCGCTAACAATTAAAAGGGATCAGACGATTGTGTAAGGGACAAACCTTTTGAGACAAAGTCCCAAAAAGGGGTGTTCTTTAATGGCGACGACTTTACAATTGGAAATTAAAAACAGAATGCCTCCAAGGGGCGCAAGCACACGAGTTACTGAAAGAAGTGTTTAAATCTAAGTTAAGGAAATTAAAATTACATGTTCTCTGTTCGAGAGTTTTTGATTCGGTCCTTTTGCTCTATATCTTTTCTTCCTTTTATACTCCCTGGATGATCTCTTTGTGATCAACCGCCTAAAAACTGCTTGATCGTTCTACAACTGCCCATTTTCCTCGTAATGGCCAACTTGTCATGGAACTACCTTTTTTAACTGATGTCATTACTCTTCGTCGTTCAACCGTTTTTGATTGAATTCCTTGAATCGTGGAACGTGATAGGGCTGCTTTAATAACTGTTTTGATAACTGCGCTTCTTGATAACCACAACACTTTATGTTTGCTAAGACCTTGGGTGACTCGAAGGTTTGGGCGAGAATAGAGTAACAGCTCTGGCCGACTGCATGGCACTCCATTCGCTCAGATTCTGGGCGACTTACAAACTTGGGCGATGGTGTTACCACGTTCTTGGGCCTCCTTATTTGGGCCTTCATCTTGAATTGTTTGATTGGGCTTCGTTCTTTGAGCTATCTGATTTGGGGATCCTCCAATTGGGCTCCATTCCTTGGGCCGTTCGATTTGGGCTGAATTTTTATGTGTCAACAATTACCCCCCAATATGGTAGAATTAGTACCAATTATTAAATTTTGCCATATTCATTTTGTGTTTCCAGCAACATTCGAAATTTCCAAGAATTTCAATCATTGTTTTTTTACATAGCTTGAAAATGTGCGACGTTTTGCAAACCCTTATAACCCCCAAACACGCAATTTCACTGCACCATTAAATCACGCCTCACTTTTTCGCGTTTCTCTCCCACGATTTACTGTTCATCTTTTGCTTCCCTGCTACGTAACTCTGAAAAAACTCCGTTTCATCCCTAATGGCTACTTCACAATCTCAAGCTGGCGACTCCTTTAGTTTTGATGACTTTCAGAAACTTCTGAGTCGTCCATACAAAACTCCTAGTTTTCTCGCGCCCGCCAATGTCGAACTCAATGAGTTCTACCTAGGTCCTTTTTTCAACAATGCAGAGGCAGTCGAACAGGTGACGGTGGGCCAGCTGTTTCCTTGTACTCAAGGCCCTCCATTTCTAAACTCTCTGCCGCTGGGGCCACTCGCGAAAGAGTTATTCGCACTTGGCCTAAATTTGATGTAGTTTTCCGTAGGTAGCATGCTCGTCTTGTGGGCCATGGTCCTACTAAGGCACTTTTTGATAATGCTAAGATTTCTGATTTGTTAAAAATCTCTATTCAACCCCCTACTTTTGATTCAGCACTTTTTTCGATCGCTTTGAGTTTTTGGTCTTCCGAGTATAATACCTTTATTTTCCCTCTTGGTCCCATGTCTATTACTTTAAGGGATGTTGGGGCCCTAGTGAATCTACCACCTTTGGGCGATACCATTTTTCCTGGTATCTTGGTTTTTGGTGGCGTCTCAAAGTTTGGTAAAAATACACCGAGTCTTATTCAAGTCTGCAAACCCTTCATAATCATTCGAGCGCTGAGCCTTCCCATACTGAGCGAGTGGCCTTT